AATGTGGCATTCAATATGACAAAATATAGTATTTGTCATACAATACATACATTTTCTTTTATCGAGAGTTGACCGTAGCAAGAAACAGACTCCAAACTCTACAGAATAAATTCTGGTCGACCAAACTCATTCTAAACAAAATAGAACAACCATGGAAACACATAGGAAAAAACTTAACGCATGATACAATCTGGCTTATAAAAAGACATGATTTCACACTGATCTAATCAATGAAAACAAAAGTATTACACTTATCTAGGAAATAAATACTCCTATAGAAGAAATCATGAGTAAACACTTCTACTTAAAATACTGACACTACCTTCACAAACATAACATACTCTTCATTGGACAACTGTTAAATGCGGACAGTACGAATACATTAAAATGGTACCAAATCATAAGAATCGAAAGAAAAATATTCCCAGGCCCAACCCTTAGATGGTTCCTAACCTTGAGCAACAAAATAAAGGAATGCTAGAAGCGAAAAAATCCCAAGATGACAAGCAACAACCAATACTTTCAAATAAGAAATTCACAGAACATCCCATAATACAGTCAAACATCACTAGATCTATATACAGAAAAAAAGAGAACCAATAATCGAAAAGAAACAAAAAAGAATAAACCAAAATACAACAAGGTATAGACACTATACTTAAGCCCTAGAAAATTCTCCACTAGAAGCATGCCAAAGCTGCATACTAAACATCCTAGATATCAACAGAGGGGAATATAGCTTTATAGCAACTCGTCAACAATCAATCACTATACCTGTTCAGAAAAGCCTAATATTTATGAGAGAACAATACAGAAATAAAGGAGTGCAAGTAGAGAAACAGAACATTCCCAAATTTCCTTACTATAACCCTCACTGAATATATACAGACATCAGAACCCCTTATACAAAACAAGAACATAATAGTCAGTATACTAGCTGAAACACAAATAAGAAGCAGAAGAAAAGACAAAGTTTTCAACTGCTCATAAGCAAACACAGAAAGGATATAGAAAATCCAGGAAAAAATCAAGAACTTTGCCATTTTCAACATCTACACAGATGGATTCCTCACAAGCTCAAAAGGAAAATACTACATGGGCATGGGTTGGATCATTATCACCCCAACCTATAGGAACACACCTTTCAAGGATAGATTAAACAACATTCCTCATTCATCAGAGCAGAGATAGCAGCTATTGTAATGGCTCTTAGTGAATTACCTGACCATAACATAGTGAATGTCCATACAGATAGTCAAGCAGCAATAAATAGTATAGAAAAGATCCTGAAGGAAGACCAAAACATGATTGTGAGAAAACAAAAAAATTTGAATCTTTTACTTCATATCAAAAGCCTATGTAAAAGAAGAAAGATCAAACTAATATTACACAAGGTTAAAGGCCATGCTGGAATCAAATACAATGAAATAGCAGACCAGTTGGCACAAATTGATGCATAAAAAGGCATAAAGCCAGGAGAGAATAAAATCGAAATCAATAGAATCAACAATTTAGAAATAGGCATAGCACTACAGTGGAATAACTACTTCACTGAATTTTCTATCAAAATAATCACACAAAAGCTCACAAACACCATTCACCTAGCAAAATAATGTTTCTTGAACAGAACTAGATATAACTTCAGCAAACAAATAATCAAAGAAATCAACTGGCAAACAATAACAGCCCATTTACAACCCATAAAGATGAGCAATCACCATACAGATAGAGAGGATCAGAAACAAAAAAAGTTCTATATAAGTTTCTGGAATTATGAACTACAGATCAAAAGCAAGCTATATGCAAGACTCCCATCCATCTACAAAAATAACAAATGTAACAGATGTGGAGAACCAGAAACTAGCACACACTCTTTTTTCTGCCAACAACTCAGAGCAGAAACAGAAAAGATCCTAAAGGACATAACTATAACTTGTGTAGAAAATAATACAGAGAAAAAAGAATTTCAATTCTTCACTACCCATTTCTTAAACAAAAATAATCTGGAATACAAGGAATACTTGATAGCAAACATCAGAGGGGCTCTTTTCAAAGAACTTATATACAATCTCAAGACAGTTATTCTGAATAGAATAGAAAGAAAAAACTATATAAAGAAATCTGGTTCAAAATAATCTAATATCTACATCAAATGTGGCAAAGATGATGTGAAACCTTTCAAGAGTGGAAAGCAATAAAGGAAATTACTAGACAAAAAGAAAAAGTAGCAAAATATGAGACAAGAAAAGAATATCACATCTTCACAGCAAGAGAGAAACATATAAAAGACCAATTGATACTCCTGGTCAATGAGTTTATGAATCAATGGATTACAAATCTTATAGACAACTTCTACATATTTGAAATTTCTTTCAGCACTAGCCCAGCCTTGGTAGGTTAGCTCCCCACCATGGGGTGCAACAAGCTGCAAGGTGAGTACCTCATATAAGAGGAATTCTATTGAGTTTTATTTGGTAGTAAATAGGTAGTACATCTTAGAATAGCTTCTATGTATTAATACTACATAAATACAAATAAAGCAAGGCGGAGCCAACATTAAAAAAAATATATATATTTTTTAAATTATAATTTAATAAAATTTTAATAGTTAATTTTAAAAAAAATTTTAATTAGTTTTATTTTTTGGGGGGGTATCCATAGTCATACTGGATTATCAGCTTATTAATCAATTGAAAACATAAATCATTTTTATTTAAACAGCATAATATATACTACAGATAAACTATTATTCTAATCTAACCAACTCATTATAAAATAAAAGCCTTTAAGTTTAGCCTTAGAGACAATATTTTGCTCTATAGTATCTATAAGTAAAAACTTTTCTAGTTTATTGCATCTTTGTCAGTAGATCGTTACCATCATATATCTAATCAAGCCACTAGAATACAAGAAACTACAAAATAATAGATTGAAAAAAGGAGAGAAAAGATATCTAAAAATATCTAAACAGAAACAAGTAAATGAAAAAGTAAAAATTGAAAAAATTTTCTAGTTTTTTTCAAAGACTCACTTCTCAAAATCTCTTCTTAATAAGAATGCTCAATTAGAATATTTTTTCTTTTTCTAACTATCTGAAAGACTTGTATATTTATAATTTTAATTTCTTTCTTATAATGCTCACAATTTTGATCTTAATCTGATTAATCCATAAATTAGATATTAATCCGATAAAATTAAATTTCAAAATTTTTAATCTGATAGAATTTGGATCGAATTGAATTTTAAATTTACAAAATTATTAGATTTAAATTGGATTCAGATCAAATCCAATCAGATTTAAATCAGATTCAGATTAAACCTGATATAATTTAAATCAGATATGCACCAGTCTACACAAATTATTATATAATTATTTAATTTCATTTAAATTGAACTATCCAGGAAATTACTCTTTCCTGTTCATCTATAGCACAGTAAACTGGAATAGGAATCTTATCAAAACATAATATGCGAAGAACAACCAGAAGCATAAGCTCCCACTCAAGGTCTAACTATAATAAAAATGCACTATCTAAGAGTATGGCCAACCCTATCAGAAAAGAAACAAACTCAAAAAGTGCAAAGAAACCCAATACCTTTACTAGACCCACCCTATCAACACAAACACATTTCCCAGTACCTCAAACAAGGTACCTCCACCGACTCCCAAAATAACAATTCTTCGATGAACATTCAACCTAACAACATGGAATCTTGGAGCGAACAAGTCGAGGAAAACCTAGCAAGACAAACCCAGAACCAAACCATACCTCCCTCCAACTCCCTTCCAAAGGGAAAGAAAAAGAGATACCCGATAACAAAGAATTTACCATTAAATCCAAGAGAATTGACAACTTTGATATAGAAATGATGCATGATAGTGAACTGGAACTTGTAGGACCCGTAATAAACAACACAAAGTAAAAAAAGTAGGAAACAGAAACTCTCGCCCTTGATCCAAATCTCCCTTTGATCCTTAAACTAGATATGGCAGAACTTGAAGTAAAATTAGCATTATAGCTGATAAAGTCCCTGATGAAACCATTGGTAAAAAGATTCTTGCAGTAACCAGAGCCCTTGGATCTCCCGAAAGCCTTCTCAACATTAGAAGTGAATCCCACAACAACATCCTTTACATCACAGCCCTCTTTGGCAACAAGAAAGCAGCTCATACTGGAAGCACTATAATACTACTAGATATAGACAACAAGAAACTCATGCGCATGAAGATCAGCAGTCCTATTACCAAATTAGAGAATAGTATCAGAGTATAGGACATCTCACTGTACACAAAACTTATAGACGTTCAACTTACTTTTGCCAGATTTGGAACGATCACCAACATCACTATGCGAACACAACAAATGTGGCAAACTGTGACTATCACCTACCAAAACAAAAAGAGTAGAGATCAATTGGTAACCCAGGGCAGCACATTAATCAAAGGAGACTCAATAAGGATCTTCGATGCAACACTTAACATGGAGCAGATGAAAACAAGATCTCTAACACGGCCAAACTTATAGGCCTCCCCCAATACAACAGCCTTTGACCTCAAACACATATTAGAACAAATCAATGGCAAAACCTATTACTTTTCTCGCCATATGTTCTACACTAGAAAAAGATTTATAGTTATTAGCTTTAAAACCAAAACTGATCTTAACAATGCTCTGAACAAAGTATTCAAACTAGGAGAAACAAATGTCACCCTTCTTCCAATAACCACTAAACTTTGCACCATATGTAATCAGGCTGACCATCTAGCTGCTCAATACTCCAGGAAAAAAACATTACAATAATAAACAGAATACAAGAAGGAACAAGCCGAAAGATTCAGCAAGCTTTATAACAAATTTCAACCAATGGGCACCAGAAATATCTGCCAACACACCCTAGTCACTCAAAGACAAAAGCTCATAGATCATATGCTGCAGCCCTCTGATCCCACCACAACCATCAACCACAAAGTAATCAAGAACAAGACCTTCTCTCCAACATTTTACAAACTCTCAATACGATTAAGGAAGAAATTGCTGAAATTAAGGAAACTATCTCAGACCTCAACAAAAACATCATCAACGTCAAATACTATGATGAAGATGGCATAGGCAACATGGAAACAGACCTCAAGAAACCCTCATCTCCCAACTTTACATGACCATCATCCTCAAATAACATTCAAGAGACACAATACCAACTCCATTCTTCTATTAATAAAATGGACCGAAACATGAATACCATCATAAATGTAATCTCCATCCTAATTCTGAACAATCCCATCCATCTATTTACCTCACAATAATGGGCCACAACCAAAGCAACTTTTAGAATGCAGAAGTAATCCACGAGCAATCGAACAAAAACACAATTTACATCATTCCTAATAATATTCCAGACAGCTATACGCAAGATACACCAATATCAACCCCACCCATACTGACACAAATCTCCATACAACATATAGAACTAATAAATCCAGCACAACTATGCAACAATCCTGACTACACCAATAAATCCTATCTCACTATCACAACTCTAAACTGTCAAGAACTCAAAGATGAAACAAAATGCTCTATATAGAAGAAGACATGGACATAACAACAATGGGACATCATAATTTCAACTGAAAAAAACCAGAACAATGATAAACAACCCTGGAAAACAAATGTATACACTACCTAGTAGGAAGGCAAAGGCCATGACACAGATATTTGTATTGCAATCCATCACAATCACAGGAATAGAGTCATCAGTATCAACAGATACGAAGACAGAATTTTTTGCATTGACCTAGTCTTCCCTAAAAAGTGATACATATAAATCATAGGAACATATCTACCTGCTACACCTAACCACAAAAGAGAAGACTTATACAAACAATAATCGACATAATTTCCAAAAAAAAAATGAGAACTGGCACATAATTCTAGCTGGTGACTTTAACGAATATCCAAACTGTCATAACGATAAGTACAGCCCTACAAGAAGACACCACTTGAACAAAATTGAACCCTTCTTCAACAAACTTACTACAATAAACATTATAGACATATACTACTACCTCTATCCACATGTCAAAGAATATACATGGTCCACTAAATAGATAGCCAACTCTCCAAAAAGTAGAATAGATGTAATTTGAATCTCCTCACGTCCAACCTGGTGCCCTATAGATGCATACATTTCAGAACAAAATATAGCTACAGACCACAGGGCAGTCTCAACACACATAAAAACATATCAACTTCAAACTCCTACTAAACGTTTCCGTCACTCTACAAATGCAACCAGATTCAACAGGACAGCAACATCTGAACAGTCTTAGCAAAAGTTTGCAGAATCTATAGACTCACACATGCCCACCTGGAACCAAATGATAAATGAGGATATAGACAGCAACAAACTCTAGACCTCCTTTCGCAACTGGATTCTAGCAGCAGCAAACAGCCACATCGCAAAATACAAAGAAAGAAAAAGAAAAAGATTAAAAAACATCACTTCATCAAGACTCATACTCCTGCTCCAGCTAGCAGAAGCCAGGCACCAACTCAAGTATCTCAAAAAACACAATCCGAAATTCAACCCATCCATTATATTATCCCTAACCAAAAGTATCCAAGAACAGGTCCCCTCTCTAACCATCAAGTAAAGTGACAACCTTGACTCAATCATTAAAGAAATTGAGCAATAAATCAATACTGAAAAACTCAAATACAAAAAATCCATTGACCAATGAATCAGAAATGATATAAAAAGCAAAATCCAGACGTCAGAACTGGTTCAAAATAAACAAAAAGCAAATAATTAAATTCCTACTCAACCAACCCAAGTGAAGCATCATAATTAATAGACTCATCAAAGAAGTTCAAAATGAGAAAACAGTTATCAAAGATCCCATACAAATAAAACAAACAATCTGATAACACTTTAAAGACTGGACACATCAACATGACATCAAAAACATTGAAGGTACTATCTGAAACAGAGAATATCAATCCAAGGCAAACATTAAAGCCAGCTGGTATGATCCCACCATCCAGCCCTTTACTCAGAAGGAGATCCAAATCATTATTAGCAAAATAAGCAACAAATCCACCCCAGGCCCATAAAACATATCATACGTCACCTTCAAACACCTCAACAAAGATAGCTTAGCAGACTTAACTAGATTCTTCAACACAATTCTTACAAAGAAAAAGATACCAGAGGAATGGAAACACAGCACCATCTATCCTATCCCAAAATCTAAAGACTGGGAGCACAACATAAATATTACCAGACCCATAATGCTATTAGAATCTATCAAAAAAATCTTCACTAAAGCCATTTGCACCCAACTATCAAATACACTAACCAAATACCACATATTCTCTAAACACAACTGGGCTGCTCTATCCCAACAAAGCACCAGAAAACCAATCACCATCATTAACGGAGTCCTAGAGAATACTCGGGAAATACACAAAGTACGCACATTCTCTTCCAAGATATGAGCAAGGACTTCGACACGGTCAATATCAATCATCTAATCCAAGCCATACAAAGAATCAAAATCCCAACTAAAACTATCAATATAATTCAAAACTGTTTATTAATCATATAAACTCAGTAATTACTTACTTCGGAAACACAGACCCCTACCCAGTCCATAAAGAAATCGATCAAGGTGACACAAAATCACCCATTCTCTGGTGCATTTATTATAACCTGCTCATCACCAGAATCAGCAAGATATCTGGATACAACCTCCGAACACACAGACAAGATTTCCACAACCTCATAAAATCAAATATAAACATTTCCATAGTAACTTACATAGATGACACAACCTTTATTACTCAAAACAAACAATATCTGGAAGATATAATCAATATCAGCAACTCCGTCTACTCACTAAATAACATTACTGTCAACCCCAACAAATCAGAACTCCTTATTATAAATACCTAACAATAAAGCATAACTATCAAGGAACACATCATCGACCTGGTCGACAAAAACAATGTCATCAGAATTCTAGGAGTATGGCATAAAATATGACCAGGGAAAAAAATCCAGAGAAGCCTAATATAGAAAAAAACCAATATAATATGCTCCATAGTAGAGAGGAAAACAAGTAATAACAAGATGCATAAATATATAATCAACAATGTTCTCTTTCCAACAATCAAATACCTAACTAGAGTCCTAGTCCTTGGTTAGCCCGAAATCCAAAAAATTAACTGCAGGATCAAAAGAAGCATGAAGTACAAAACCAATCTCACAACAACAATTCCTAACTTCATCCTCTATCTCAAGTCACACTACGGCATCCATGACATCCAAACAAGACAACTTCAAAAACATGCAAGTGACTTACAAGATCTCTACATAGCTCAAAACACTGCAGAACAAATCTGTCGCAATAGGATCCAAAACCTACAATGGCTCGCATGGCAGAACAACTCCATCTTGAAGAATTGTCCTACCTTTCTCGAAACAGGACAAAACTTCTACCATGATGTTCTAAATAACTTCCAACAAAACCACATAACCACCCTTAATAAAACCAAAGACAACAATCCCAAGGACCAACTCCACCATATAAGTGAGATCATCGATCAAAACTGGTATCATACACACAGAGAAGCCTTGAGATGTCACCGCATCATGTATATTGAACAGACCTTAGACACCTTCAAAACCAAGACTTTATTATGGCACCCGATAGGAGGATTACACAAAAAACTCAACAAAAAAAAAGAACCCGGATAGTACTTCAACCTTACCTTGATCAGCTTAACCTTTCTCAAAAACAAAAAAAAGTCCACAAGACATCAATATATTTGCCCAAATCGAATATGCTCCAACCAGTACTAGCACTTCTGACTAATACTCAACAATAATCAATCAACAACTAGCAATAGGGAAAAGAATAAGCAGAAACAAAGAACAAACCAAACTCAGACATTATTAATACATAAACAACTCTCCACTCATAGCTTGTAATGAATATGATCTAACAAACTCCAAGAATGGCAGAAGTAATATGTGCTGTATCAATATCAAGAATGACAAGCTAGGCAAAATACCAGTTATCAAAACAACTAAATCCAGAATCAAAAACGAATCAACAAACATCTTCCATACACAAATATTACCTGGAAGCATATCCACCTGATGGCAACAACCCAACGACACCATCGCTGCAGTAGAAATTGATCCAATACCAAAACAACTCCTCAATCTCAACAAACTAATAAAATGCCAAAGACAACCCTCACCCAAATGGAAAACCTCATCACCAAAATGAAACTTCACAACAATCTCGACTTATACTGTAATGGAGCTTTCAACCCAGCAAAAAATAACAAGAACCTGGGAATAAGCATAGTCCTCAAAGACATCGAGCATCAAGCAACAGAAATAGCAATAAGCATAGTAGCTCCAGGTCCCAGTACCACTGCCGAACTTCTAGCAATCCTCATTGCTGTCAACTTAATCAACTATGGAAGTACCAGCAATATCTACTGTGACTCCTCAATTGTCATTAAAGAAATCAATGATCCACAACCAAACTAGCAAAAAAACATAAACACACCAAACTAGTTAGTGCAATAGTCAAAATAATAAAACAACAACACCTTAAAATTACTTGGCACAAAATCCAGCCAGAAAACCCAGCAAAAGAATATTGCAGAGCAGACAAGCTTCCCCGGGAAAGCTTAAACAACAATACACTCAACATAACAGGCACTCTTACACATTACATCCCACAAAAGAAACTTATAATCTTCAAACTTCACAATACCAAAATCCTCAATGATATCAGACAAATCATCACGGCAATACAATAAACACGACACACCTGGGACTAGAACAACCTAAAAAGACATGAAACCCTGACAGACAAACAAAAAGAGGAAATAGATTGGAAAAATTTATTAACTAACCTTCATCCCTCCAATATAAACTCACCACTCAGCAACTCATGGAACCACAGAATCAGAACTTTCTCTATAAAAATATGGAACAAGGAACTAATAACCATGTCTATACTCAAACGACGACACTTCTACATATTTGCTACTGACATTTGTTTCACATGCACAGATATAGAAGACAATAAATAGCCCTTCCTATGCAAATAACATGGCCTGAACATCAAAGAACTAATAACCAATATCATCAGCAGAGAAATAATAGCAAGGAAAGATGGCCCCACCAACAACAACATAAAATCTGAAGCCTCAACTAGCCTCAATAACTATAACACCTGGGACATACTAATCAGAGGCGGAATCAATAAGAGTATAACCAAACTCATAATACAATATCTGGATACAAACATAATAGTAGAAACTATTAGAGGTATAATCAACAACATTAAATTTCTCACTTTCAACATAAGGAAAGATAGATGCAGAAGGTTTCACAAATAGACAAAAGACAACAAAATCTTATACAAAAAAAATACATATCAATCACAAATAAAGCAATAGCCAAAAACGGCAACACACAT